AAAAAAAATTTTTTTTTACATAGTCGCGATTGTATCAAAGACCATATGCTAGCTTTGCGGTATTTGATACTATATGTAGACTTTACGATATGCATGATTACGACCCACCGCGTGTCATCCCGCAACCTCACCAGCCGTCATGAGATACGACTTATACGAACTGAAAATGGTGCCCGAAAAGGTTGAATACGGTTGCCCAAATGGCCATTATTTTCTTCACTAAAGGCTGCGTACATGATGATCACTGACTGACCTTTTTCTCTGAGAGCTCGGGATTCGACACGCTATCAATCTACCATAGTATGTAGAGTAGTAGCGCGATGTGCGAAAGACTAGCTGGAGAAGAGAATTGAAGAAAGCATTGAGAGGTCAGTTCAGGGTGACAATGCCTCTATTACATGTGCCCTCTCTGGCGCCTCCGGTGTGGCTATTTTGCAACAGTAGAGGGCGTCCATGGGCAGCAGCCCTTAGAGTCCCTGTATATATAAAAATTGTATTCTATATACAGGGACGCTAGCAGCCCTGAATAAGCCCAAGAACACAGTAAGAGCATCGCCATCTTTACATTAATATATATACAGTAACAGATGATGATATAGTTTGTTCGTCCGTCCGTCCATCTGTATGTCTGCGTGCTTGCCTGCCTGCCTACCTGCCTGACTGTCCGCCTGCCTGCCTGCCTGTCTATCTGTCTGTCTGTCAGTAACCCTCGTGTTTCCACGACATACAATATGCTTACATCATAAATCAGTGAGACATCATGAAGCAATAGGCGCATCGTAAAGGCTTTATAAAAAATGCAGTATTTTATATTCACGCAGGCGCGTAGCCAGGGGGGGGAGGTGGGGGCGGTCGCCCCCCCCCCAAAACGCCGGCAAAAAAAAAGAGAGAGAGAGAAGAGAAAAAGGTAAGAGGACGTAGGAAGAAAAAGGAGCATACAAAGACACATGACAAAGACTGTGTTAAAAAGATTATAAAAGAAACAACAGATATCATTTAATTATTTAAAAATATTTTGTGAAATGAGCTTTGAGCCCAGCGCAGTTCGCCTTTCATCCAGCTCGGCGGATATATATGCGCACCTACACAATAATATGACTATCGAGCTCTACGGATATTTTGTGTACAGCGGGTCGGGTTCTCTACGTGCTACTTGTGTATTATTATTGTGTGTCTGACCTATCACACAGTCCTGCTAGCAATTATGGAAATTTTATGATGAAATGCTGATTGTTTGGTGATTGGTTGATTTAAACGTCAATATATTTATCACATGCATGATGCTCTTTTCTGAAGATATCCTAAAAAAAATCGAAATCTTGTTTAACAATAAATCCAATATTATTTTTGAAAATTCAGGATTAAGAGTCGAGAACGGTACAACGAATCGTCTTCTTTCTCTAATAATTTAATGAAACGTCAGAGCTTCCGCGCTTCGCGCGGGAGGGGAGAAACTCCCCCTCCCTGCAACCAACCCCTAGGAAGCGCGCGCTCTTTAAGTGATTCGCACCAGGGGCGTAAACCCCGGGGGATGGGTGGGATGCGTCCCCCCGCTCTTGAAGGAGGGGGAATAACCTGTACACATACCCCCCTGAGATTCAAAAAAAAAGAAAAAAAAGAAAAATGGACGAAGAAGAAAAAAGAAAGAAATGTGATTGTTTCAATTTCAGCATAATGCATGAGAAATGAGTTTTTTAAATGTATGTATAACTGTATAGCCTACAGTACAATTCAGTACATTGCATGGTATGCAATTAAGACAGACTTTTAAGTGGGGCACGGAGGAATAGTGACTGCCAGAGGCATATAGTTTCTCAAAAGTACAAGTGCTATGCGGGTGCAGTGGAATCTACACCTAATATATCAAGCTTCTTTGCAGCAGATAGAGAATTGTCTGTCTTGACGCAGAAGTGAGATTTACGGATTATGTTCCGTGAGCATCGTTGTTCCATCTGATGCAATGTGCTGTTCTAGTGAGTGTCGTTGTTCCGTGAGCATCGTTGTTCCATCTGATGCAATGTGCCGTTCTCGTGAGCATTATTGTTGCGTTTCTGTGAGCGTCGTTGTTCAATCCATTGCAATGCACCGTTCTCATGAGCCTCATTGTTCCGTGAGTGTCGTTGCTCCCTCCGATCGATGCAACGTGCGTGGCCCTTTCCGCTCGACACCGGTGTGATCTCGTGTGCGTTTTCTCACTTTCAGGAAAGGTATTTTTTCTCACGTAGCAATGTGGCTTGGTTGTTCCCTCACGGGAATGGTAAGCGTTCGCATGCAGGGACTCCCCCGTTCCCTTGAAGGCTTCGTTCGCTCGCCGATGCGCACGACAGTGAAAATAATTCGCACGACCTTCCTGAGACACGTCGGCACCTCGTGTCGAAGCGTCCAGTCGAATCGCAGCGGCACAGGCAGTTGAATCATGTATCAGAGAGCTTTCTAAGTGTAATTAGTTAAACCCGTGAAACAAGAGAGACGAAGGTTTGCAGCAAACGCCGCTGAGTGTAGCCATTGACCGTGATTCGAAAGGAGTTTGTCACTCATCAAGGGAAGATCGGGTAACCTGAGAGAAGGAAAGAACAAAAGAACTCTTTCATTAACACTTCCATTGCCAACATATGGGATATACACACACAAATATATATATATATATATATGTTTATTTATGTGTGTGTGTGTGTGTGTCCGTGTTGGCTGTTGGGACCACTATTAGCACACAGGTGTTCAGCTTGTATTAAGCATCAGGTTGCAAATCACGAGCACATTTTGTAACTGCTAGTGTGCTTGTATGTAGGTGGCGCCACTGATCGCTCGCAAACAGTTGTGATTGCCACCGGGATTGACTGCCAAGGATAAAGCAAGGATTGACTGGTCGATACCCGGGTCTTAGTCTGCGTTCAGCAAGATTGATTACTGATCAACTAGAAATGAGTTATAGCTACCGCACTCCTGTTTGTGAAACACGAATACAATAATATAAGACACCTGTGATAGTTTTTATGTATACAAAACGCATCTGTGTATAAAGATATCTGTATGTTGATATAAATAGCGGTGTGCAGTGTAACCAGTCTAACTGCATCTTCGCACGAAATCACACTAATGTCAGCAATCTGCTACTGTGCATGCAGTGCAACGAATACAGGCTTGTAAAGTATTTTGTGTCGTTTTAAATGGAAGTGATTAATGTTCTTTCTAAAGGTCAATGTTACATTTTATAGTGAGTTTTCCATTGAACTGTCTTTTTTGAAGATGAGGTTTATAAGCGGTCTAATATATCACCACAAATCTGGTGTTTTCTACTTTTAATTACCTTCGCATATAGTGATGTTGTCTTGTGTCCGACGAGGCATTTACGTGTAAAAATGAGTATGAAAATACTGTGCCTTGGACGACTGTAAGATAAATAAATGATGGGGTCAATACAAGAAACTTTCTCGTATATATGTGTTTGTGTATGTGTACGTGTGTGTGTGTGTGTGTGTGTGTGTGTGCGTGCGTGCGTGCGTGCGTGCGCGTGTGTGTGTGCGTGCGTGAGTGCGTGCGTGCGCGTGTGTGTGTGCGCGCGTCTGTGAGTTCGTGCATGCGTGCGTGGTGTAAACTTTCTACAGAAGATCAGAGGAGTTTATTAGTTTGTAGATACTATACCACGTTATAATTATAAAGGCGAACCTAACGAAAGTATAACTAAAAACCCTTCTCTAGAGAGAGATTTCTGTTCCACTTAGACGCACCTGCGTGTAAAACCGTACTGCTGCAACGCGCCACATGCGCTATACACCGCTGCCATCTTAAAAATTTTTTTTACATAGTCGCGATTGTATCAAAGACCATATGCTAGCTTTGCGGTATTTGATACTATATGTAGACTTTTACGATATGCATGATTACGACCCACCGCGTGTCATCCCGCAACCTCACCAGCCGTCATGAGATACGACTTATACGAACTGAAAATGGTGCCCGAAAAGGTTGAATACGGTTGCCCAAATGGCCATTATTTTCTTCACTAAAGGCTGCGTACATGATGATCACTGACTGACTTTTTCTCTGAGAGCTCGGGATTCGACATGCTATCAATCTACCATAGTATGTAGAGTAGTAGCGCGATGTGCGAAAGACTAGCTGGAGAAGAGAATTGAAGAAAGCATTGAGAGGTCAGTTCAGGGTGACAATGCCTCTATTGCATGTGCCCTCTCTGGCGCCTCCGGTGTGGCTATTTTGCAACAGTAGAGGGCGTCCATGGGCAGCAGCCCTTAGAGTCCCTGTATATATAAAAATTGTATTCTATATACAGGGACGCTAGCAGCCCTGAATAAGCCCAAGAACACAGTAAGAGCATCGCCATCTTTACATTAATATATATACAGTAACAGATGATGATATAGTTTGTTCGTCCGTCCGTCCATCTGTCCATCCATCTGTATGTCTGCGTGCCTGCCTGCCTGCCTACCTGCCTGACTGTCCGCCTGCCTGCCTGCCTGTCTATCTGTCTGTCTGTCAGTAACCCTCGTGTTTCAACGACATACAATATGCTTACATCATAAAGCAGTGAGACATCATGAAGTAATAGGCGCATCGTAAAGGCTTTATAAAAAATGCGGTATTTTATATTCACGCGCCATTATCTCACAGAAAGTTATTTTATGCTGTGTGATTCTGCTTTCTTGGCAGTACACGTGGCTGAATTTAGGAAATGCGAGGTTTTTCCTGGTACCAACTAATATAAACATAAACAATTATTTTCACAGAGAACGTATTTGAGGCGAAAGTTCATAAACAAGCTGTTATTTACTTTATTTATTTAATGACGGTATATTATTAAAAATGTGAGCTTGCAAGCTCCTTACCGTTAGTGCAATGAAAAAGTGTTAATACTGTTTACTATTAGGACAAGAAGAAAGCATTTCATGTGCTTTGCATATCCGTTTGAACACGACAGTGACTGTGCCGTCGGTATTACGTGATATACGTGAAGATTGCGTATCTTACTTATAATTCGAGTGTGGTGTACACGGCAGGCAAATCGAAGGAAGAACGAAGAAACCGTCGGTGTCCTTACAATCTTTTTGAACAATAAAAATATGATAGATATCATGATTGCTGTTGCTCTTTCCACGGTTATTGCTGCATATGATTACAGAATACTTCGGACTGGCGTTTTTCTTAGTAGACACTTTGGGAATCATTGTATGTTAGCAATGCCGACGGCCATTCACAGCTTACGGTGCGTCACCAGTCGTTGGTCGATGCTAGTATTGCGTTTGACCCAACATTTTGGTCAAGTATCCCGTATTATTGTATATCTTCTTTGATATTACTACTTATATAGGCTGTAGAGTGTAATAAAACTAGGTGAACTTGTCATTTCTCTAAAGACACCTAATAATTTTATGACCGTCAGATATGTATCGTACGCACGCACGCTTACGCATGTAGGCAAGCACGTACGCACGTATACGCGTACACACTTTTACATGTAGGCTACATCATTGTCATCAACACATACGACAAGTCACATATGATGAAAAGTGCATAAAGTATCAAATGTTACATCATCGAATTGATTTGCTGATATCCCGAATCACAATCAATGATGACGAGCGTAAAAACCATCTTGGGTTTGCCAGGCAACACCCGGACCGCGGACGCTACGAGCACGGGCACTTGGAGCGTTTCAATAAAATATAATGCTAAATAAATATGAAATCTATTTACTACCAAAGTCTTAATGCTTCTCGACTTTCTTTCGCCTATTATTGCCGAAAATTTCCTGTAAATGCCGTGCAATTGCTCCTCTGCAACACACATGTACACCGCGGCTACGAGCGGTACACCTACTGTGGCTACGAGCGGCGTGCGAACCACTCTTCGTGAAAACTGTAACCGAAGAGTAAGAAATCCGACTCGTACTTCTCGTACAGTCGTCGGCCGAGGCTGAGCGGCCCATGTCTGTAGTTCTTGCGCAGGAGGCGATCCTCTCCGCTCGTCGCCTTGTAATAGATCGTCGTGTTTCTCTGCGGAAACGTGAGACTCCCCGCCAGACCCGTCCGCCGCAGCAGCTCGGCGCTGTCGTCGCGCAGCGTCTCGTATTTGCCGACGAAGTCGTAGTTGACGACGCACGGATTGCACATTTCGACGATGCGCGCTCAGTGGTAGTTGTACTCGCGCGTCGGCGTCTCGGCGACGTACGTCAGAAACTGCACGAAGCTGACCGCGTCGCCGACGTTCGCGTTCGTCGGCGAGCGCGCGAAGTGCTTCCGTATCATAGCGATCTGCTCGCGGTGAATTTTCTCCGAGCGGGAACCTGCGGCGATCTCGTCGCGGTAAGCCGACAGCAGCCGAACGAGCGGATGCCTGACGAACAGAAACTTCGTGCGAGCGCTCAGCATGTCGGCCATTTTCGCTAAGTCCACGATTCGACTAACGCGCTGGAGGTTCCTTTCCACGTTCGTGTCGATGTGCACGTAATCCAACGGAAGCCGGTTGAACTGCTGCATATCGGCCTTGCTGCCGGCAGGCGCCATTTCTAACGCCAGGAGCGCGTTTTTCCAGGTCGTACTTGCGACCTTCTGCACCTCGCAGTAGACCAGCTTGCGTCGGGGAAGCCAGAACACGTGCATGTACGTGTATGGGTACTCAGCCAGAGATTTCTCTACTCCGGCGCGCTCGAGCTTGGCACACTGGTGTCTAAGCAATGCCACCCTCTCGTCGATGGTGTCCGCCAGGGGCGCTGCTGGCGCTACCCATGATATAAGGGACTCACTGTGCGTATTCGCGTCGCCGTAGGAGGTTGCGTGAGTCGTCAATCCTATTACTGAATAGTGAAAAAGAAAACGATATCACATTTCTCATATGTATGAACATTTTTGATGAGTAGCTGAATTTAGCATCACGTCGTCGAAACGCTTCGAAGAAAAGCGATTGGCTATTTTCGGGAAGCGGGATTAGACCATTTTAGTAACATGGGAACCGGGAAATACCTGGTAAATATTTCGTGATTTAGGATTAGAAGTCAACCGGGATGCGGGAAAGCCGAACTTACCTGTATGCAACGTACCATTGTAGCGTGGTAGACATTCCCATTCAGTAGACGTCAACATTAGACATTAGACGGGAAGGGACAAAGTTCACAGTACGAGTAAGAACCCAATGGTTATCAAATAGTAGGAGAATTCGGATTTTTTCCCCCACGTTTTAAGGTTTGAAATGGTACCTTCGCCGGTTGTAGCAGGAAATAAAACAAAATCTATAACTATATATATATATTCAGGAGTGAATATAAAAACAAATTCATGATTTATTGTTATATATCATATATGTAAGGTTTCATCCTACCCTCATTCTGCCAATTGTTTTCATCAGTAGTTAGCGCATACTATCAACGCAGTACTACAGAACGACAGCGCGACTATAAATGTTTGCTTTCATAAATCGTACAACAATCAGCACAAGGCGTGGGCGAAGAGCAGAGTCGTTGACACGCTCATAAAACACGTGTCCATCGTTAAATCGCTACCGGGTTAGACTAGATGATGTGACACACCGTCGGTGCATGCTGACCTTTCGGGGGGCCCGCACCCGCCGTGGCAATAAAGCTGATGCGATGTTTTGTGGCTGTAGCTGGCTGGCTGGCTAGGTGCGTGACAATAGCATGCAACGTGAAGGGTTGCTCACTGGCAATTTGAACAAACTTCACCGATTTTATTATCTCTATTCGACTGTTCCAGTTTTTGTGCCAGTTCTATGTGCCAGTTTTTAAAATGCCGGTCAACATAATATATGACAAACATAACAGCTTATGCACATGTCCATCTAGGCTTACCAGCGTCATTCGGCAAATCAAATTCAAAATAACTCTTTTCAGCTTCTGAAACTGAATTTTGAAGTATGAGATCCCATGGGTGGTAATAGTGCCCTGCTCTCAAAAATGAGCCCATGCTATGGTTACCCCGGATATAGTCATGTTTGAATGAGATTCGGCATGTACTAAATCAGCAAATCGGCGTTTGAAAAGGGATTAAATAATTGTAAATTTTTTAATTCTATTTACAGACGTTTGCTTTTATATTTCACGCGCGGCACACGCTGGACTAGTTTGCAAGTTACATGCAGAAACTGCTTGCCTTTAGCGGAATGCGTAGCTATATGTGCATTTGTGTGATCGCCAAGAGCGCCATACGCGAAACTTAATTTTCAGTGTGAAAACACGATGCAGATATGATACCCGACTCGACTCGAGTACCCCGCAAAATATTTCTGGCACAAAAATGACTATGAAACAATGATTGAATTGAAATAAATGTTGTGCCTAATTTGTGATTGCAATTCAGAAGACAGTATCGTAATTTCAGAAAATTACTTTTACTGATTTATTTTGGAATTTTAAGCTTTACGTACAGCCGCGATAATGGAATTATTGTTAAGTAGATTGGTTATTATATCTATTTCTAAATAATAATATTTTTTTGATGTCGGTTTGGGCGTTCTCTCTCTCTCTCCCAATCTTATTCCCTCTCTGGCGCACCCTCTCTCTTCCACTCTTTCTCTCCCATTATTTTGTCTCGTTCTCTTCCTCTTCCACTCTCTCTGCTACATTCTCTTCGTCCTCTCTCCCCGCTCTCACTCTCTTTTTCTTAAGATACCACTACCTCCTTTACTCACACTATCTCTCACGTTTTTTCGCACTCTCTCCCTCCCTTCACCTCTCGCTTTCTCTTCCTCTTTTGCTTAGCTCTCTCTTGCTCTTTCGCACCTCTCTCGACCATCACACAGGAACACCGTAATCCCACACTCGCTCATAAACTCCAACGCCACCGCCCGATGCACGCATGTATGCTATCCGGGCAGCTCTTGCGGCTATACAAGGAGTATAGTAGATATTATAGGAAAATATTTTCCTTATTATCTATACTCTTATATTAGGGCCCGTTGTCAGAAACAAAGTTAGTAGTAGACATTTGACGGAAACATTGTTACAAGTTACGAAAATGAAAAATCCTAGCAAATTTCCGCATACCTTTATGAAGCAACATTCTGTCAACGATGCAAGAGAAAGGGTCAATGTACAATTTTTGATGATGATAATGACAAATTTTAAGGTCGAATTTCGTTTCTGACAACAGGCTAATGTTCTGACAACTCTCTTTACAAGCCAACAAACGACATACAAAAGTAGTCAGTTAAACTAAAAGTGGGCATTGATTTCAACAACAAGATGAGTGACCTTGCACGTTTCGCTAACGTTTGCAGGCCCCAAAATCGCGCGCGATATTGCGTGGACAAACAACTCAATATTTTTGTCACAGTATAGTCGTTTATCAATGTGTGTGTGTGGGGGGAAGCTGATTAGGCATTAGGCATTAGGAACGCGGCTATGCGTAATCTTTCTTTAACTGACTGCAGCACGCGTGCGCGGTTGCTCGATCACCACACAATTTAACGTTTTAACAGTTCAACGAGCGCATTACTTCATGCTATCCTCTCCACGCGCGCGAAAAACGACCCTGCACACGTTGGATTTCCAGCTAGCACCAAGTGCCCGTAACATATATTATTATTACCATTATGTGCTCTGCTATGCTGTTATATACTATTATGTGTTGTTATGTACTATTATGTATACTATTATGTAGGCTCTTGACAGCAGCAGCTCAAACACAACTCTAAGCTCATAAATGATCGTCAGTGGTTCTCGCACCGCACACTCTACTCTTCTCGTGATTGTCACTTGTTATTTGTGCTTCGTACTTGTAGGTTCTATACTACTCTACTTGTGGTTGGACTTGTGCTTGTGCTTGTTACTTTTGTGTGTACTTGTACTATATACTCTATTTGCGATTGTGATTGTGCTTGTTACTTGTGCTTTAGCTCTAGTAACTATAGCCCGCGCACACAGCAGTTAATGTAAGCGGGCTATAGTACTAGAGCTACTTGTGCTTGTGCTTATGCTTGTAGCTCTACTCGCAGGCACTTGAAGCGTTTCAATAAAATATAATGCTAACTAAATA